AGAACAGTGCGCAGAGAGCTTCATGGAATGGGTTTCCATGGTCGAGCAGCTGCATCCAAGCCATACATCACCAAGTGCAATGCAAAGCGTCGGATGCGGTGGTGTAAAGCACGCCGCCACTGGACTCTAGAGCAGTGGAGACGCGTTCTCTGGAGTGACGAATCGCGCTTCTCCATCTGGCAATCTGATGGACGGGTCTGGGTTTGGCGGTTGCCAGGAGAACGGTACTTGTCTGACTGCATTGTGCCAAGTGTAAAGTTTGGTGGAGGGGGGATTATGGTGTGGGGTTGTTTTTCAGGAGCTGGGCTTGGCCCCTTAGTTCCAGTGAAAGGAACTCTGAATGCTTCAGCATACCAAGACATTTTGGACAATTCCATGCTCCCAACTTTGTGGGAACAGTTTGGAGCTGGCCCCTTCCTCTTCCAACATGACTGTGCACCAGTGCACAAAGCAAGGTCCATAAAGACATGGATGACAGAGTCTGGTGTGGATGAACTTGACTGGCCTGCACAGAGTCCTGACCTCAACCCGATAGAACACCTTTGGGATGAATTAGAGCGGAGACTGAGAGCCAGGCCTTCTCGTCCAACATCAGTGTGCAACCTCACAAATGCGCTTCTGGAAGAATGGTCAAAAATTCCCATAAACACACTCCTAAACCTTGTGGACAGCCTTCCCAGAAGAGTTGAAGCTGTTCTAGCTGCAAAGGGTGGACCGATGTCATATTGAACCCTATGGATTAGGAACGGGATGTCACTTAAGCTCATATGTGAGTCAAGGCAGGTGAGCAAATACTTTTGGCAATATAGTGTATATAAATGTTAAAACAAAGATTTTAGACGCTGCATCAAAGGAAGGCGATCGGTGGGGAAATTAGCCTTTCTATTTTTTCCATATCTAATGTTATATACAGCTAATGTAGTGTGTCGGTAATAGCACACATAATACAGAGGTCTGCTGCACCATCTCAAGTGTATCCACTACACATAGGAGTCAAAGCTAAGTTTTGCAGTATAGTAGCCATAGGGAATTGCCAAGTATGTCACAAAGGGGCTGTTTAAATATCTTAAAATACATAAATCAGCAGGTTGCCCTCTGGTATGTTTTTAGGTTCAGCCCCTCCTCTCAGGTAGTTTTAAAATGGAACACCTCTCCAGCTCCGTTCATCCTCCATACTGCTGCCACAACAGCCATCTAAACCTTAGTTAGCACACTTGGAAGTATCTGTCTGCATCCTGCTTATTAAAAATGACAGCACTGTAATATTAGACTAAATAAGCCTCCAGGACATCTGACTAATGAAATTACATAACAGAACCCTGTCATAAGAACGGACACTCTGGATTATATAGGTCATAGTAACCCCTTCCTTTAATGTGCTATGCTGACCTTTCTGTTTGTGCAGAGTTCTCAAACATAAACAAAAAAAGGGTTTTAATTATTTAAAATGAGGCAAACATCACATAGAGAGATGTAGAGACTTAAATGTGAATCTACTAACACTGGAGCACATGTTGAATCGGATTGCAAACCTTAAATTATCACAGAAAGCTCCTCTCCATCTGTCCGCTCCATGCCAACACTTTACCTGCAGCAGGTGTGAACAGTTTGTCACAAGTGGTAGAATAAAGCTTTATGTAATGGTCTTAGTTTAATTTAATACATGGAAAAATTGGTTATAATAAGTGATGAATAACTACTTAAACCAAGCATAAACTAAGCGTCATGTAGCTAAGATATATGGAGTGTAAAACATTTATTCTAAGGTATAAAGTAAGGCTTTTGCAAAATCCAAATTTTTTTTTTTACTCCTTTTCAAATGTTTATCTTCTTAAATTTGAGGATTTCGCATTTTGGAGAGTTTACTATTTAACAAAAACATTTTTTTTTCCACCTACGTTCATAAAGGATTGATTTTTTTATACATTGATTTGTGATTTGTTTTCATTTGCCTAAGATATTTTTTAAATTTACATGCTCAATTGTTTTAATTATATATTTGTTTATCTGCTTTTCAAAATTGGTATGCACTTGATGCTTGCAATTTATTGATTTGCTGAAAACAATATCCTCTCCTGTTTTCCATTGTTATTGTTGTTTACCTTTTGTGCTATGTATTCCATGAAAATATTAAACTTTTGTTTATAGTTTGGAAGTAGGATGATATTTATTTGTTGAAGAAGCACTGCCTTATTTAATTTATTATTATATTATATTATATATATTATATTAATTTATATGAAACTGCTCCTTTGTTTTTTTCCGGGATATTCCTATTTATCATAATAAAGCGGATCCAGTCAATAAAAAGGTGCTGTTCTCTCATGCAATGTGTTTAAGAGTAATAAACTAGTAATAAAAGACATGCATAATATACAGTTCCTAGATTTCCTTCTCCAAACTGTCAACATGTCAGTTTGTTTAAGCTGCAGCCAGGCTAAGCAGCTGATAAGGCACCACCAAAACAAAGCATCCTCCACATAAACAAGCTTTAAATAACAGAACAATCATTTGTAGCTTATTTCGCGTTTGTAACTTGCAGTCTGCTCCGACTCTCCTTCTGTCAGCTCTGAACGAAGCCTACGTGACGCTGACTTGTTTACTTGGTCCGCCTGCTAACCCAGCTGCAGCTCTGTCTGCACACAGTATCCGCTCCCAACAGCCTCACGACCAGAAACCGAACAAGAGGGAGGAAAGTGAGAGCGGAGGTCTGCTCCGCCGCCTACCTGGCCTGTCTCGTGGGTTGTTCGAGCGGCAGGAGCCCCTCATGGTCTCGGTTTAAAGCCCTCTTGCTGTCAGTCTGCAGAGCAGTGAGTGGGAGATGTCCACAGCAGAGCGCAGGCAGCGATGAATGAATTGGGAGAGCGCGCGCTAAGCGTGCTGTTGGATATGGCACACGGGCGCGTGCTCATCCACCTCCATCTAAACAGAGAGCACATGTTTGGAAACCTACATGAAGCTTTTGTGTGTGCGTGACCGAAACCATCACTGGCCCAGAAGGACATCTTACCCTACATTAGATGGAGCTTTTTAGACTAATTAAGCAATGAAGCGCCATGACTGTCTCAAGGTTTATGTCCAAAGGAAAACCAAACACTGAATAGCAATTATTTTCCTTTCTACAATGTAAAAAGAGAACACAGCTTCAACAGAGCAGCTTATAAAATAAATAAGTTTGGGAAACCTTTATTCAGTCACTTGTTACAAACTGAAGCAGTTCAATTTGGAAGCTAATTATAGACCCAACCAACGGCGTAACTATTGGTAAGCAGAGAGGGGCCCCCGAGCTCTTAGGGGCCCCTGAACAAAGACATGTCTTTGCAGATGAGGTGATGCGAAAAAATTCTTCTTAAACCCTCCTGATACTGTTTGACCTTATTTATACCCCAACACATGGCAGATTTCTACATGATGGTGAGCCGTTTAAACACCACACTAACCCACCAATAGCAAAGCAGATAGTGGTACTTTTAATTACTATGTTAATAGTTGTGTATAGCTCATTAGAAGGTTGGTAAAAAAAACACACTCATATAAAATATTTCAAACACAATAAAAATATTAAAAGAATGTATTTGAGTATTTTATTTTTTTACAAAACGACTTGGAATTATGGGTAATCCAGAGCATTGTGTTAGGAATCCAGTTTGTGTGGCCTGTTTGTATGTCTCCGTTTTTCACCACCAGGTGGTGCCCTGTCCTCGTTGCCCCTCCTGCACACCTGCGGCTCATTGGATCATTATCTGGAGGAGTATTTGAGCAGTGGACTGTCACTACCTCGACGCCAGAGTGTTTGCCAGTTTTGGGTACTCTAGCCAAGCTGAGTTTAGGTGAGTCTAATCTAGCTTTGTTTCTCTGAGTCTAACTTGTTTTTTGTCTTTGCTCCTCGGCAGGAAGCTTTCCTGTTTTACTGGATACCTGGACCTTCTCTCCCCTGGAAGGATAAACCGAGTTACACTGAGCAGGGGAAAACCTTCACAAGTTCCGTTCAAGTTCCTATCAAAAATCAGAGTGACAGTCCGCTCCATTACTCCTCCGGGTCCAACACTAGTCAAACCTGTCCGCCCTCCAACATGTGCACCTAACCCTGGATTCACCACACAGTCTTGATTCAAGGACTAACAAGGCCCCACTTAAACGTGAGTTCCAAACCACGCTCAATATCTGAGCTTCCAAGATTCCCACAGAACCTGAACTGACCATTGAACTTCCATTCTCACTTCCAGTTCCGGGTCACCAGCTCACTGAGTTCCAGATCCAGATTTCAGTAAAGTTGGACAGAAAACCTTAAGCTGACATATCTGTATGAAGTTGCCCTGTAAATTGCCTTCACCTGACATGTTGTGAGTTGGCGCTAAATAAATAAACTGAGTTGAAACTCATTATGGCATCAAATCAAAAATATGCAAATACACACAAGACAATGATGTTGAACATTTTTGTGTATGAGTGTGATTCTTTAATGCTAATTAGGTAAAAGCATTCTTTTAAGTTTTATGCCTTTTAAAAATATTTTGTATCTTAATGTCTTTTGTGTTGTCCTACAATAATTAGGTTTTCTTTTTATACATTTCCTTTTGTTAAGACCTTCTGTGTCATTTCAAAGTTATTTTGTGCCACAATTGGGTTACTTTTCTGTTTTGTTTAGTCATTGTTATTCTGTTATATCTGAGATCCTATCTCTCTGTCTTCAAAATCATGTTCTCCTTCTGTAGTCATTAATCTATTTTAAAAAAATATTTTGATTTTCAATAACCATTGATAAAAAAAGAGAAAAATGTCTATTAGTTTCTTGGCATTTTTCACCACTTTAGCTTTAAAACTCTACTAATCTATTTCTGGCTGGTGTTTCGTGTTTGGCATTGGTTCAGTTTTATGCCCACATGTCTTGTTGATAGTTGGTCTGTTTAGTAATCCATCCACTCCTTAAACCCAGGAATGGCCTCAGAATGGCCTAGTTGTGAAAAACTTTATTTCGTACATAGGTATATTTCCAAAACACTGTTGCAACATTTTTTGTTTATTGGGTTCCACTGCATTTACATTACCTGACATTTTAAACTACAATGTTCAAAAAAGCAATGTGGTTGTGAAAGGTGTCTTTTTCCTGAACTATTTCAAAGATGAATATGTCAGCATGTGAATTTGTTTACAAATACAAAAATTTACAAATGGGTGACTGAATACCTGAAATCTGGGAAGCAAAAAAGTGCTGTACAAGTATAGGCCATTTAACAGCTAAATCATCGTTCGTGCAAAAGTAGTTACATTTTTACTTTCAATATGTTGATTTGCAAAGGGTGAATTTTCATTTTAAATGGGACATGGCACAGGTATGAAATGATGGGTTTAGAGAATTGTTGACACTGGACACACACAGTTGCGGTTCTAGGCCATAATTACCAGGGGGGTGGGGTGTGCCAGTGTTTATCATGGGGAGCACATAACAAAACAACAAAAAAAAACACACAAAATATGAGTCATAAAGCAAAGGTTGTAGACCCCTGATCTAAAAGAAGAAAACTAATATCTTACTGCAGCTAAAGTTTAAAGTTATGCACCTTAATTTCAAAACAATTGTTAAACAGTAAAAGTAAAAGATTAAGGTGCTTCAAGAAATCATTCAGTAATGCTTTCTTCAGTTAGAGCACATCATCTTAACAAATTGATTTAGTGTTATTTTTGCAGTACAGGGGTCATAACCAGTCCATCAAGGGGACTGGCCCCTGTTGGCCCCTGTTTAGAATCACCCATAGACACACACCAAATACAAAAGTACACAAAGACTTATCCTGCTATAAGATTAGGAAGAGACACTCCCACACAGGTTTAGGACAATAACAGAGCCTAGCTTTAGTAATCGTGGACAGTTTCATCACGTTTTATTTTGAGAATGTAAAATATGATCATTTATTTCTTTACAGGTAAATGTTGGATCATCTTGGAAAAATTACTAGCACTGACCTTAATTAAAAAGCGTATAAGTAGCCCCATTGATCTTCTACAAGTATATAACCATCTAAAAGCGACACTCCAAAAAGTGAGACTGAGCTTAATTAATATTAACAAAGTTAACCTTTACATGAAAAAGTTGTCTGTGTGTACAGGTTGGGCTATTATTATGTTAATTTAATCAAAGATGAAGTATTTGTCAATTGTTTTTTATTAATTTTTGTTTAAATAATATCAACTAAGAATCACCGGGTAGAATTTAATAATATTTTATCACTCAAGTCAACAATGACAAAAAACGAATTAACTCTACTCAATGGAAATTCTCTATTTTTAAACCGTGTTTGTGCATTGGACATGTCCAGATGTGGGTTGACTCAGCTTAATTAAGTTGACTAGTCCTAATTTTTGTCCATGCCCTAGTGTACAACGGGTTAAAATAGCTTCTGTGAGGTGCTCTGTCATATTAAGCACCTAATAACCTCCAGAAGTCACAGGGGAACACCTAGACACATCTAACTTGGACTAGATTATTATAAACTACTTGAAGAATAATTAAAACCAGGTTTGGTATTTTTGAAACCTTTCTCTGATTTGTGAAACTTAAAGGATGCAGTGAATTGATGCATGTGCCAAGCGGGATTAGAAATGGCCATTTTTTTTTTCTCCACAAATCAACTGTCTACTTAAGGGACTTAAGACGTGTAATAAAAACATTTTAACATGGTGCAACATGTACAATGTTTTTATCCCAAACATGCTGTCAATTCGTTGTCATATTTTTATCGCAATTTATTTATTTTTTTTACAAATCAAGAAATAATTTGATAAACGGGTATCATTTTCTGAGTACATTAAACATTTGTTGTAACAGTAACATCTTTCTACTCAAATAACTGTAAGCAAAAGTCTGATTACTTCAGCAACGCATAGTCACCACACATACAAGTGTCATGGTTTTGACTGTATTTGAGTTCTTGTGTTTTTCTTGTTTGCCCTCCTGTATCAGTCTCCTTTTCCATAGATCCCTAAAAGACTCCTTTATCCACACCTGCTCCCAATCTCCTGATTAGCCTGATTAAATTTAAAGGTCCAACCAACAGAATATCTTGTCATAAAAAAACAGAAATAGGGAAGCTTTGTCCACCTTTGTTTGTCCAAAGGTGACAAAACTCGCCTACCAGCTCACCCATCGTATGTCCTGTGGTAAACATAACATTTCAACATTTTTGTAAATTTGGTGCTATGAAAGTTTCTTTTTTTCCAGCAGCAGTGACTTTCTGGGCCCATAGCTAGTCATTTTTAGGAATATAAAGTAACAATAACAGTGGTTTCCTAAAGCCTAAGCCTCCTGGTGTTAAAAACTGCTCCATCACTATTTAAAATATATTTTTTTTTTCTGTTTTTTAGGCCCCTAGGAGTCCTAACATAATCACAACCAGAGACATTGTCATCCGACGTCTGATGTTGTACCTTGAGGAATCTGCCCATCAGCTCTTTAAAAAGTCTGATGCATATTTCTCCCTCTCAATCTCTATTTATTTAGGACCATCTCCTTTAACTGTACAGTCTAAAATAACAACTTATTCTTGTTATATTAAGATGCAGATCATGTGGCACAGGACCTTGCTTTACAAAGGATGAAAATCTACAGCATCCAGAGTCAGAGGGTACAAAGGACATCGGAATCGTGATAGAACAAAGGTCCTGATGGCTCTGGGTAATTTTCTAAGAGCTTTTGCATTGCTCATTGGTTTGACATTTGCAGTGAATCTTGACCACCCCAAAGAGCTAAGGTATTCTAGATCTTGATTGTTCAAAGCTTTCCACAAAACCCAACAGCCTCAGGAGCAAGTTACTGGCTTAAAAAAATGGAGCCAAAATACACTGGAGTGCTCAGTTATTATGTGCTGCATTTAAGTGTTCAAGTTTTGTTCAGAAATAATGTTACCCATACTCATTTGTAGCTTAGTATTCCAGAATTACAGAGTACATGATAATGCTGCATTGTAACCAGGACAGTGAGATTTGTTTGTTGAAAACACAGAGCTTCTTAATGGACCATAAATACTTTGCCTCCAGGATATGGAGCACCGTATCACAGTCCACTTTCACAGAGGCAAAACAACACACTTTTTTTTCATGATGATGTTTTTCATGTTCTTGCAAAAGCAACCCACAGCTTTATTATGACAATGGACAATATTCAATGTGGGTCTTTACGCTTGTGTCGTTTCACTGGTTGAGAAATCTACCTGTGCAATTAGCCTTCCTCAAATAACAGGTGCCTTTGTGTTTGAAAAAAGAAGTTCTTTGTAAATTTGTAAATACAAAAAAAATTAATGTTTACCTCTTGTTTACCTGTTGTTCTTAATATGATTATTTATTAGCTACCATTCAGTAAAAAGAACTCATGGTATTGAATAGATTAGACATGAAAAAATATGGCAACAAAGTGACAATCATTAACATTAAATAGATTTGAAGTCTTGAGGTATCAATTATAGGCCAATTTGATCAATTCATTTATGTAAAAATAAATAAAAATTACAATTTAAATGTGCTGAATTAGGTAAAAATGTTCCAAGTTATAAGTTGATGTAACGTATTTTAATTATTTATTCTAAATAATTTGTATCCTGATATTTAGTAAATAGAAATCATTTCATCCACATAAGTAGTAAATATAAATTACTTTCACCCAATTAATTGGTAAAGGTAAACCAATTCTTCACAGATATTTGGTGTATATAAATTACTTCATTTCAGATACCTAATAAATATTAATCAGTTTTCCATGTATATTTGTTTCGGATTTACTAAACATTTGCCTTATTATTAGTAAATCCAAAATATTTCAACCAGGTTTTTTTGTGTGTAATTAATAATTTTGTTTAAATTTGCATAATTAAATCAATAGGTCTTTATCAAAGTTGAGATAATTAAAATTATTTAGTTATATTAAGTGTCCCTTTGTTGCCTTCATTTTTTTAAGTAGACAATGGTCAAACTTTTCTGAGTGTACTCTGAGGGATTGCTTGTGATTGGTCACAGAATAACATTTTGTAATTTCTTAAATGTAAAACATCAGGATTTTCATAATATCCAGGTCTTTCTTATTGATGCATTGATGACTCCTGGCAGGAACAATGCAAGTTCAAATGACATCATATATTGCTTGGATATCTTAATGCAGCAAAGCTTCTTTTTATTTACCCTTAATTTAATTCCTACATCATTATTTTTCTTTTTTTAAGTCTTAATTAGGAAATTCTCTTGAGGTTTGCTGGAACATCTGCTTCTGTTTGAATACTTCTCTCAATGCATTCAGGAAGAGATCATTTCCTTGTGGTTCTGGTGTGAATCCCACCTAACAACACAAGCAGTTGGTTTAATCTTTAAGTATTGAAAAATACAAATACACACAAAAAACCACGTTCTTCTTACATCTTTAAAACTCGCACTTCTTCTCATTCTTCCTGGTGCTGAACCAGCAGTAGGGGTATCCAGAACTTCATCTGTCGTGGTCATATTCTCTGGTGTCTGCTGACAGTTTTGGGTTACAGGAGCCGGTGGCAAAGGACCTTTGTGCAAAGCCATGGAGATGGACGTCCCTGCAGCTCTCGGCAAAGTTTGACACACTGGGCCTTTAAAATATGTCAGAAAAAGGATTTATTTATATGCCAATGTTTTCATCTGAAGAAAAAAGGAAGTGATAAAAGATGTGTTTGCTTCTACAAAATCCTTTTGAGGAATTAAAACCAATAAACCTCTCTTCCTTAGCTCCCTTTGCACAGCTTTAACGCCTCCAAAGTGGTTGATGATGCAATCAACCACCTCAGGAACATCTTTGTGTTTCAGGTCTTCCTCACTGAGTCCTGCCTCCATTAACAACCTTCTCATCCCATGATCCAGATCTGAGAACTAAAGGAGGTTACAGCAGAAAACAAAAATGTGTACAGAGATGGGTTTTCTTGAGACATTGACATTTTCACTGAAACATCATGTTTGTCTCATCTGTATTGCCATCTTTGAGCTAGCTTACCAAACCCTGAGAGGCTGAAACACGTGGGGTAGAAATTGGCTCCTTATACAATTTCCCAACATCTTTTTTCCTGTAAAGAACACAAACTGGCTGTAAATTGTGTCTTCAATTAACTTCTCAGGATTTCTATTAAACTTGGATTCATTCATACCATGAAACAGGTAGATTGCTTGACGAAATGCTCTTCTCTCCAGTGTTTGTCATGTTAATCATGGCTGCCAGCTGTTCTGCAAGTTGAAACAGATAAATGGAGACTAACAGTTAAAAGCTTTTTCTCTTTGAAAGCATGTGCAAAAGGGTAAAACATATTTAATCTGACATAAAATTCATCTGCTTCTTAGTGTGATGACCTTGAACCCCCTCCACAGCAAACTGAAACTCCTCTGCCTCATTTTCATTTGCAAAGTTGAGACCGACCTGGTGGGCCTGCAGAGGTAGAGCAAAATCATTGTTTTCTCATTCGCTCATTTTTACATTAAAGCTACAAACATCAACATATGCTATTTGAATATTTATAGGATAGACAAACAAAACCAACAGAGCAACAAAGTTTAGAGCTTAAGTGTAAAACAGAAAGAAAAAGTAATTAAGAATCAAATGTGCAGAAAGTGGGTAAGGAGAAGTGGTGAGGAGATTGGTTTAGCTGCTTTTAATCTCCTATTTAGAAATAAAATAAGAATTACCAATTTCCTTCAAAGGTCACCTAAGGAATATACACTAATGTTCTTCAATCTCTCCATAAATCAAATTCTTCTGTTTAGGTCTCTAAATCCCTTTATTAGATAACATTAGAAAAAACAAACATCATGAAGACCAAAAACCACAGCAGACTGATCATGCATGATATGAAAAAAACCTTTAGACCAGACCTCATGATCCTTATTATTGTTGCTTTATTCCTCTAAGCACTGTGATTGTACAGCTGTGACTGTACAATAGCAATAAGGTGAACACGTTTATGTGGTATGGTTGCTATAGAGCAAGGCTATTTAGTAAGGATAACTTACTTCTCCGGGGAAAGTGTGGAAGTATGAACGACTCGCAGTGTATTTGAAAGGAATGTACAGTTCCTGCTCCCACAATAACTTTTCACGCTGTGATAAAGGGAGGGACAAAAGAAGAAGTGAAAGTGGTTGTAAACAGTGAGTTATACGTGCAGCAATGCAGATGGACCAATTGGAACAGAGCTCATTGTTTGCAGAGGAAACTGCACATTAGAGGAAACTGTCCCATACGTGCAGCTCTACTTGTACACACAAAGCAAACAGAAGTGACGGCGTCTTTACAGTGAACAAAAATAAAAAACAGAAAACTGCACGTTTCAGGGTGTTTTGAGTGGGTGGAGTAACAACTCTCTTGTTCCACTTACTTGGACACAGTAGAGACGCAGGAAGTAGGACTGCACAGACGTGTCCTCAACGAGGCAAACCACACCACAGTCCAAACGATGCCAACTTCTGCTTTCATCTCCAGAATCTTTGGCCTGGAGTATCTGGGCTACTGTGGTTTTGAGCAGCTAAAATACATCATTTAAATGATCAGAGTTAAATATGTATATTGAATATACTTCTTGTGTGTGTATATTTTGAACTGCTGTCCGAGATTATTGACATTTATTGTAAATTGAGTGAAAAAGCAAAGAGAATACCAATTCATTAAAATATAAAAATGAATGGCTGAAAGAAAATAGCTTCAGCTTTTTTCTTTCTCTCTTACCATCATGCTCACTGAGTGGTGACAAAATAAACACGGGTCCTTGTCTCATCCAAACTGTCACAGTTCAAGTTGTTTTAACCTTTTTAATAGTAAATATATATATGTAAAAAAATAATATATATATATATATATATATATATATATATATATATATATATATATATATATATATATATATATATATATATATGTATCACTATATATTTCCTAAATTATGCAAATCACCAAACATATGTCTTACCTACTCTCTTTGTCTTCTCCAATTTGAACAGCAGCTTAGAGAAATTCTACATTTACCAGGAATTATATTTACAATAAAAACTATTTAGTTACACTTAGTTTGCTGGAAAGGTTAGGGTTGGAAATGACTTACTTTTCTGCAAGTTTAATTGAATCTAAGTTTAGTATACACTGTCAAAAATGAAACTAAGAAAAGCAGACAACTCATAAATAAAACTTTTTATTTGCCTGATCATTTTTATTTTGGATCTCTATCTCTTTTTTTTGTGTGCTCTATTTATGTGCATTCTGAGCTAAGTGTCCTGACATTTTATTATGGTCCCATAATAACATGAAGATTCTTGATTCAGATCTAGCAGATGACATCCCACAACCCCCTGTGCTGTCTTCACCACCTGTGATAAGTTCTTCCTCTCCTGTGTCATGGAGCTTTCGTTCCACAACGTCAGGCTGAGATACAGGGTGAATTTCAGTGTGTATATGTAAATAAAATTATTTAAGTTTAAAATAAATGTAAGTTTAAATAAGAAACAACTATTTTTACTTTATATGCATAATATGCTTCTGTCTCCTTGAACCTCAGTCGGCCTCAGCAGATGGCCACTCACACTGAGCCTGGTTCAGCTGGAGGTTTCTTCCTGTTAAAAGGGAGTTTTTCCTCTCCACTGTCGTTACAAGCATGCTCAGTGTGAGGGATTGTATTTGAGTCAATGAGTCGATGCAATCAACTGGTTTTCCTTAGATAGAAAACTTTGTATCAATTTGACTGGATGATCTGGTTGAACTGTAAAGTGCCTTGAGATGATATGTGTTGTGAATTTGGCGCTATATAAATAAACTGAATTGAAATGAATTGAATATCTAATTATCTTATTTTAAGGGCAAAAATACTCATTCCATTGGCGTATCATATTATTTACTGAAACAAATAAAGGGAAAATACACCTATTTTAGAGTATTTGCTAGGTGTATTTTATTTCCGGTCTAGCATCTCTGGAAGGACGGTGTTATAGGCTGAGCTGAAGACAACAGCAAGCATCCTAACAAACATGTCGGGACAAGAACCCTAACTAGAGGAATTCTCCCTGTAGACGAACAGCTGGCTGTCCGGGCCACTTCACACCTCATGATGATTGGAATCAGAGCGGCAGGGTTGTAATAGTTAAAACCAGCTGATGTTTTTTTTGTGTGTACAGACACAGTTATGGAGGACTAAAGGGTGGCAGATACCATAGAAAGCTACAGGGAGAGGTTGAAGATTAAGAAAAACACCTTCAAGTTGGTCATCACATTATTTTAGGGTCCAACTTGACACCAAGTCAAACTGGACCTTCAGCCTTTTTGATGTTTAAATCCCCTAAAGTTGGAGCTTGCTTCATGCATTCAATGAGAGGCTGATGCTAGAACTCTGATGGAGGATATCTATACTTCCTGCTGCCTGTAAGGTCGACATGTGCAGAAAAACTTTTTTAGGTTTATTATGGCTAAGCTGGTGTTCATTAGTTTTGTGGTACATGATGCCCCTGATGCCTCTCCACTCGTTAAGTGGATTATTGGGCCCCTCTGTTGGACAGTTTTTCTCCTTATCTAAATAATCCATCCTAGGCTATTTTCAAAGACAGCACTGTGCTATCTATCAAAAAAAAAAAGTTTTGATAAGGGCATAGCAGATGAAAGACAGATTATGTGTATTCCTCCAGATCAGCTTCTTTCGCATAGCCTTCAGTTTGTGCTCAAAGCAGTCCTATAAGGTCCAAACCAGGATGGTTCTGAGGTTCTGACGGTGAGTTTGGTTCTGCAGATCAGAGGTTGTGGGCTGGTATCAGGTCCACAGAAATATGATCCGATAGCCTGCCTGTCTGCTAGCCGACACAGGAAACCCAATTATCCCCCAGGCCTCCTGATTGCTCCAGCTGATAGCAGGAAAATAATCCCAAGCTTAGGACTAAATGTATTTAAACCTTTATTTATGCTTGTATCTGAGCAACAATTAGCCACGTTGATGTAGGTTTAGTTCTCTGTTTAATATCTCAAAATATAAGCCATATTTGACTACGGTAATCTCACTTGGTCCTAGAAGGAGACTAAAAAGCTGAACTGACCTTACAGTGTGGTTCCAGCAGACCGATGATGACGCCTTTCTCACGGAACGTCAGCAGATCACTCATTACTTGAGACTGGAGAACACGACCGACCGCCATCACTTGGTCCTCTACTCAGCTCAGCTTCCCAAGTCTTTCCTTTCTTCTGTTTTAAACAAGTCTTATCTGACATTCACACCTTGTTTGAATGTCCAAAGTTCCTGTGTAACGTGCGTTCATGCAAATGTGTGACTGTGTGAGCATACAGTACATTTTTGAATAGGCAAATATGTTTATGTGTTCTAGCCATCCTACAGCAGCCATGAAAGATTTGAGGATGTTTCCCTCAGACAAACTTTTCACACCAAGTTGTAGTTATTTCTGATTTGGCTCTGACAAATGCCAGCTGCTTGAAAATGGTGTTGCCTTTCCACTTTGGAAATCAAAAGAGGAATAATAAGTGTTATTTCAATGTTAACAACTGTTCACTGGCTAATGCATGATAAAACTATTGGACCCAAATTCAGTTTGGATGAGATCTGCATATTTACAGTACTCAAATTCCTTTTACAGTGTTTTGCTATAGTATTCATACAAGTCGGAGCAGCTTCCTTGTTCTGCGTTGTTATATTTACCACAGCATAATACTGCCACCACCATGCTGATGATGATAAATTTATCAATGAAAAATCCATCCATCCATCCATCCATCCATCCATCCATCCATCCATCCATCCATCCATCCATCCATCCATCATCCATCCATCCATCCATCCATCCATCCATCCATCCATCCATCCATCCATCCATCCATCCATCCATCCATCCATCCATCCTCAAAGAGGCATCAGATCCAACAGGGGAACCAAGACATCCTCCTCCCAAGCATCAGCTTTTCATTCCAAGGGATTCAAGACATAGCAGTATCCATCTTTCAATCTCCATCTTGGGGTCTACTCCCACTGAGATGTACCCTAACCTCCAAAATGCCCGGTTGGAGATTATGCAAATGATTAAAGATAATAAATATGTACACTAGGGGTGTCCTGATTCAACTTTTTTTTAATCTCTGATTTGAATGTTGAAGCTATAAGAATTGATTGATAGATATCTTTTTCTATGTCTGCTTCTGTCTCCTTGAACCCCAGTCGACCTGTGCAAATGGCCGCTCACACCGAGCCTGGTTCTAGTGGAGGTTTCTTCCAGTTAAAAGGGAGTTTTTCCTCTCCACTGTCGCTACAAGTATGCTTGGTGTGAGTGATTGCAGAGGGTCAATGAGTCGATATAATCAATTGGTTTTCTTTAGATAGAAAACTTTGAATGAGTTTGACTGTAGGATCTGGTTGATTTCTCTCTGTAAAGTGCCTTGAGATGACATGTGTTGTGAATTGGCGCTATATAAATAAACTGAATTGAAATGAATATTGACCCTATATGATTAATTAATCATACCAGCTATTATTACTTAAATTTGACTTACAAATGTTAGAAAAGGCTGAAGCAAGTGCTATTACAAAAACAGAGAACAATAATCTATAATAGGTATGAGAACAACTGACCCATGTAATATTAACCAATGGGTTACAGAAACTTAAAATAGAAGCAGAGTTTTTCATTCAGCATGACAATATCAGAAATCAAAGATAAAGAAGGATATAATCCATTACTAGTTTTTTGGGTAAATATCGTACCTATACTCGATCTATACAGAGCCTTGTAAATAGAGATGTTAAATGTGTGTGCAGATCTAAAAAGTGCTCCAAAATGTGTTAAACAAAATTTATTTCAGTGCATTACAGCTAAAATTGTTAAAATATAAATGTTTCTTTTTTATTGATGATAAATGCAACATGAAGAAAACACAGAGAGTATGATATGTCGATGGAGTATTGCTTAGAGCTTCCTTTTACACCAGTTTTATCCAGTAATCAGTCTCTCCTCAAGCTCTTCAGTAAACGTCATCTCCATCTGACTGTTTCACACCACGCCTCCCTCGCTGCTTCCCCTGTCCTCACCCTCTGCGTCGCCTGTCGCTCTAGGTGTCGGCCTGTTGCGTCTCTTGTTTAGCAAAGGGTTGTTGGACGTGTCCAAGTCCTTGATCTTTACCTGGTCGTAGTCCACGCGCATGGTGGCCAGGGCACTGGTCATTCCCTCCTGTAGGAACAGTGTGAGCTGTGAATGTAATTTGGTACATGTCTGCCACCTTGTGGCAACATTCTGAAAACAAACAAACAACAGGGCACATAGGACTTAATATCACCTTCACATCATCCCAAAGCTCCATATCTTCTGTCAAAACCCGAGATGTGTGTAAAGGTGTTTGAGGGACCACCATCGACTGCTGCTGGGTCAAAGAATAAATATTACAAGGGGAGCAGCAAACTGCAACAGTTTATCTACAGAGTGATTGTAAAGTTTCAACTCACACTGATCCAGGGATGCTTCATAAACTGACTGATGGTCATCCTCTCACTGGGCTCCGTCTTCAGTAACCGAACAATCAGCTGTTTGGCTGCAAGTTAGCAACCCAGCAGATCCAAATTAATTCTAGTTATTCCAGATTTATTTCCTTTAAAATCCAGAGAAAGCATTCCCAAAGTATACAATCTGTTTTAAAAGCTTCTGTGCGGTGCAAAAGAATTAAATAGTAGCAAGATATCTTTATATTTCCAATTAACTCCACTTTAATATAAATCAGCAAATCTCTGGCTTCTTATCTCTGACATTCCTTATGAATTTAATTGATTGAATAACATATCTAATAACACAAGTTAACAGAGCTAATCTAAAATAGTTTATTCTTTAAGTTTACATCTATGGATCGACCAATAAAACAATTTAATTAGTTTAATTAGTTTAGTATTAATTTAATTAGTAAAAATAAACAAAAAACAAATAAATCAATCAATGTTGTCTAATGATAACAATGCATACATAGTTTATTTAAGTTGCCAAAGTTAAAATAACACCTTGTCTAAAGTTGCAGAAGTCTTCTGATGGTAAACCTTTGAGGCTTTGTGCAGATTAAATAACTCATCCAGTTTAAGATCATGAAATCCAAAATAAATGCTTTATAAATTAAAACTGCATGTGTTGCTGCCATGTTCATTCATGAGATATCTGAAAACAAGTCTGATCGCTTTATACAATAGTATAAATAGTATAATAATATAAAAAATGGTGAAAATTCTGACCTTCCTCAGAAACGTCGGCCCACTCAGGGTTTGGAAAATTATACTGGCCCAGTCTGATCCTCTGTTTCATACCTGGAGAGATGGCCTGACCTGTGTTGGAGTAGAAGGGGGGAAATCCACAGAGCCTGCAAAACATAGAGAAAAATTCAATAGATGAGAAAAAAAAATATAAAAAAAAATTAAAAGAAGTAAAACTCCCCTCATTCAAAAACTAGATCAATGATTAACATGCATAAAACAGATTTAAGCTAACAGCAAAAAGAACAAAAAAACGATAACATAAAAAGTGGCAACAAGTTAAAAGATACAAGAAAAGAATTGAGAATTTAGGGAAACAATATACATAAAAAAAGAAGACTAAAGGAAAATGAAAGGAATAAAAGAAACTGAAGAAAACAAAGGAAAGGAAAAAACTTAAAAAAAAAGTTTATATAGCATATCTACCTAAAAAATGAAGCTGAATGATTTCGAGATATCTGTGTTACTCACAAGATGTACATGATGACTCCCAGAGACCACATGTCACATGACTTGTCATATTTCTCTGGCCCCAGCACTTCCGGGGCTGCATGGAAAGAAGCAATTATCAAACGAATCAATAATGTGCAAGAAAAACAACATAATGGTTGATGACATCAATTGGTCATTAAATGACTAATACTGTAGTAGCTAGCAGAAGTGGTGAATGCTCTCACCAACATAATACGGGGTGTAACATGGGGTCTGGAGGGAGTTATGCAGTTTAGTCTCCTTTGCGAAGCCAAAGTCAGTCAGCTTTAACGTAGCGTTGCTGTCTTTTGTTGTGTACAGCAGGTTTTCAGGCTGAAATAGTAAGAAAAAAAGCTTAATCAAATGTAAATCTTCTCTGATGTTCTCAAGGAGGAGTCAGTCTGAAAGCAGCATTACCTTCACATCTCTATGAGCAATGTCCACATGGTGGAGGTACTCTATGGCTGTGCCAATGTCATGCATGATCTCCGACACCTCTGAGGAACACATTGCATGTAAAACCACAAAGGGCAAACCTTACATTATATGAACTGAGTAGAACATTGGACGCACCTCTCTCGGTGAAGGCCTGGTCCCCTCTGGCCTGGATGCGGCTGAACAGCTCCCCTCCCTCCATGCTGAGACAAGGTGGACAAAGAGATGAGAACTGGGACAGAGAACACATGCTTGGCAAACATCTATTGGACCGTGCTCCAAAGCTATTAGAACAAAGCTAACCATTGTGTCTCATGATTCAGTGTGTATAGCAACTCACTTTGGGGAGCAAAAGTAAACCATGATACATATTTAACATGGTTTATATATATATAAAAAAAAAATGTTTTCCTGGCGTACAAATAGATACAAAGAGCTAGCAATGTTAATGTTTGATATCTTAGAAGTTAACTTTATTTAAATGGAATCCTTATAACAAGCTAATTATTATATTCCACATGCTTAGCCTTTTAGAATAGAATAGAATATAAAATCCTTTATCGTCCCACAATGGGGAAATTCTGGTGTTTACAGCAGCAAAAAGATAATAGAAAAAATGGTCAGACAAATGTGGAACTTAGAAGATTATACAAAAATAACATAATAGAGAATAGTTTTTATAAATTACTGTACTGCAAAGTGTTTTAACAATAAAAATACTGTGCACCTGGACAATAAATAACTAATATACAGCTGTGGGCATTATTACAGTAATGGTTATGTGAAAAAAGCAGCAACATCAGAGATGTGCAAAATGAGAGCAGCATGTTATTTAACAGACTAAGATAGAAACTGTGCAAAATCAGCATGAATGTAATAACTGATTGAGGTTTTTGGGAACGGTGGTGGTTATAGAGTCTAACGGCTGCTGGGAAGAAGGATCTGTGATAACGCTCCCTGGTGCATTTAAGGTGCAGCAGTCTGTCACTGAAGGAGCTCTCCAGATCAGCAGCAGCTTCATGCATAGGGTGGGAGACATTATCCAACTGAGATGTAAATTTAGTTAGGATCCTTATGTTTCCCACCTCTGCACT